TGTTTCATATCTCGATGTTGAGGAAGTATATACGGGATCCACTACACGTGATCGATCATTTCGGGATTGTGGTTGATGAAGGCCTAAGCTATGAAGAAGAGTCGATACGCATCATCGATAGACAAGTGAGGCGATTGAGAAATAAGGTAATACCGATGGTGAAGATTGAATGGAAGGAGCATTACGGCAAGGATGCTACGTGGGAAATGGAAGAGGAAATGAAAGTCCGATACCCGGAGTTATTCTCGAACCAAGGTAACTCAAGTTTGGAGACCAAACTTCTTTAAGGGGGGTAGGATGTAACAACCCTCACGCTATCCTAACCATACTCATGCATTCATGTGATTCTGTCTTGTAAGCTTGTGTTTCAAGTCTTGTCCTTGTTCGTTTAAGTGTTTCAGCATGTTTTGTACTTTGCTTGGTATGAGTTTAGCCGAAGTCGTCTTTCGTCTAGGATTACCTTGGAACCACTTTGTTTGATCTCTACCTTCGCCCTGACATATTGGCCGAGATGTCATTATCTAGGCCGAGGTGTTCATCACCAAGGCCGAGGTGTGAATCATCTAGGCCGAGATGTTAAGTTTGCACCTAAGTGATCTTATCCCGGAGAGGTATGACCTAGACCGAGGTGTGGCACATCTAGGCCAAGGTGTGGCACAGCTTAGTCAAGTGTTATCCTTCCTAGCCAAGGTCATTATTCCCTACTTGCCGATGTCTTGTTCTTAGCCGAGATCCTTACTCGCCAGAGTGCCATGCCGTCTTGCTTGTTGAACACACTTTGTCATAGTTTTGTCTTGTCACTCAGCCACCTTTTTAGGCAGCACCAACCAGCCACTGCCACGTGCCCCTGTAGAGGGTTAAGTTAGCCAGCAAACTTAGAAATGTATCATTTTTGCTGTATGTCTTTGTTTGTGAGGAGAGAGAAACTCTAGAAGAATAAGAAGAAGTTTAGAGTGAGAGAGTGGGTCTTCGAACTTGATTCCTAGAGATCAAACCATTAGATTCACGTATTGAGGTTAGATTCTTGATTTACTCTTGACATTCTTATTGATCATCTAGCTGCATTGCACGATCGAAACTGTTTTGCATGTCATGCATCGATTTAAAGTTGGTTTTAGAAAGAGAAAATAGTGTTCATGTGTTTTTGAAGGAAAAGTCTTGTTTGATCGGAAAGTTTACATTAAGATTCATGTTTTTGTGTTTGTTCTCACAAGATCCTTGAATATGGGTGTCCAGGTCCATGTTTTTGAACTCATAGCATGAAATCTCAAATTTTGTAATAGCAAATCACGATCTTTGCATTCAACTTCTCGTGTTCTTGTTCTTCATGTTCATCATGTTCTTCAAGAAAGGGAAACCCAGATTTTCCCGACTTCATTCCTTTGAATGTGGTCATCGAGGCCACACCTCGGCCAGGGGACGTGGAACCCCGGCCTAGACCTGGTAGTTGCCCAGCATGTTTTCCCCGAGATAAAGAATTGTGTTTGTTTTGATTTGACTTAGTCTTGAGGAATGCCGAGATCATCTGCATGCATGTGAAACTTGTTTGAAAGTGCATTCAACAGACAGGGACTATAAGCGTTTGTAGCACAAAGTTTGGAAGTTCGTACGTGCTAAGGGACTATAAGCGTTTGTAGCACAAAGTTTGGAAGTTCGTACGTGCTAAGGGACTATAAGCGTTTGTAGCACAAAGTTTGGAAGTTCGTACGTGCTAAGGGACTATAAGCGTTTGTAGCACAAAGTTTGGAAGTTCGTACGTGCTAAGGGACTATAAGCGTTTGTAGCACAAAGTTTGGAAGTTCGTACGTGCTAAGGGACTATAAGCATTTGTAGCACAAAGTTTGGAAGTCTGTACGTGCTAGGGGACTCTAAGCATTAGTAGCACAAGTCCTTAGTGTCCGGGGACTATAATGCAACGACACCATTGAATTGAGATATCTCTCTTGTCTTGCCTTGTCTTGTCTTGTTGCCACTGACGGTTTACCGCGTGGGTTTTGTTGCCGAGATGTCATCACTTGTATTATAATGATGTTAGTAAGCATCCTTTGAAACTTGACAGATTTGGAAGATGGACTTGGTTCATCCCTTGACTTGCACTAATTATGTTATGTATTGTTTGATAAAGATTTTGAATACCAGTCATGCAAACCCCTTTATTTCTTATACCATTCACTGAGTATCCAAGCTCACCCTCTATATATATATATATATATATATGTAGGGGATGAGCAGGAAGGTGGTGACGCCTAGGTGTGACTCACAAGCTTGTTTTGGGTTTTGTTATGTCGGCCTAACTTGTATTCACGTCGGCAGTCTTGAAAATCATGCTCTCGGCTTATAATGCTTGTAATTTACACATGTCGGCTGGAGAAGCCTTTTGATCAAGATGTAAAATGTATTTTGTACTTTATTGTATTTGTATCCAAATTGTAATATTATGTAAAGTTGTTTGCCATCCCATGTAACTTACGCACTGCTCTTATGGACCACTTGTATTTTTAAATTATTGCTTCCGCACTTGTGAGCCCCATATATATATTATACTCTGGTTGTGTGTGAATTTTGAAAGTTGGCCTTCGATAATCTCGAATTACTGGCCATCACGGCACCAAACTACTAGGGGTGATTTGGGATCGTGACAAATAGTATACCTAGGGTGTGTTTAGAATATTCCAAATTAGTACAGCTATCCCTCTTCTGATATAGCAACGCAACTTCAATCAAATATAGAAAAGACAACATTTCTTTCTTCATTTCTTGTTGTTTGTCAATGCAGAACGATTTGCCATTTAATAGAAAATTTCTCAAATTCATGTAGTATAGGCTTTTCTTTCAATTACTAGTTTCGGACTAGAAACTGAGGATCTGATAAAATGTGAGTCTGACGAGTTGAGTTATAGTTAATCATGAAAGAGATTATCAGATTCTCATAATTCAATTAGATACAATCTAGAAATCTCTTTTTCATGGTTGTGGAAAAGTTTTTTTTTTGAATTCTTTAATTTTAAGATATTGGTTGGATGTACAGTAACAAGTACTATAGTAGTACATAGTCTTTCTTACCACTATATATTTGTGTACATTACTTGTTCTTGAATAGCTGATCAAAAAATATAAATTACTTGCACTTGAATAAAAAGATATTCACAACACTACATTCATGTGAAGCAAGAACATTTCTAGGATTTATTTACGCAAACACCAATCAGATAATAGGAAGAAAAAAAAAATTCAAGGACAAAATTAATTGAAACTACTAGCCAACTTTGTGTGAGGTAGTGACTAATGATCAACACAAAAGAAACTGTCAGCTGAGGAAAATCTATCTAATGACAAATTGTGTATTTGAAAGTCCATGATGAACTCAATTCAGTATCCGGCTTCACCTAGTCAAGAAGATCTTCTCCGATGATGTTTTAATCCTTTTGACAATGTTCCTTTTTTAGCTTCTTTTTATGCCATCAGTTGACATCTCATCTTCTTTACGTCCGATTGTTTGAGAGGCTTTAACATGAACATTTGAGCTCCTTCCTCTAAGCACCTGTTCACGTAGGGGATGTGTTAAAAAATAAAAATGACAAACAGGCAAAGAGAAATGGAAAAGGTTTTGAGAAAACATAAATCGTTATCAAAATTACTTGTTAATTCGTGTTGGGATGTTCTCGGATGACATTATAACAACTGGAACTTCCTTCATAACATTCGATTCCTGCATCACGAAAACCATTTACTTTCAGCATAATTCACTAAATATCAATCTTTAAGCTTTATTGTAAAATTGAGATTTAATTCCTAAGTATATTTTATTACCTTAACTTTCTTTAGTAGGTCATAACCAGTCATTCCTGGCATACAATAATCTGTAATTATCAAATTCACCTTCAAAGCCTGGAAAAAAAATTACAGAGTAAATCTCAGAGGGAAGCTTATAGAAAATCATTGTAACATCAAATCCAAACCGAGGATCTCTAACTGTAAAACCCACAACGCAGTTTGAAACAATTTGTTAACTACATATTGTTTTAGAGTGTATATGCATTAATCTTGGGTTTCTTGCAATAACATGTTAAAATCAGTACACCGATTGTTGAAAAGGTCCCTTACACTGGTCTCCAAGCTGTTGTTTTGATTGTCTCCCAATCCCAAATACTCCAAAGCTCTCAACCCATTTTCTGCAGTAGTCACTGCAGCAATTCAATTCAGAAATTAGTTAGCTGCTAAACATATATTTAATCAAGACATCAATGTTGAGCAATTGAGTCAGTAATCTAAGGTTTCGTTTGCCAACTCTTATAAGCTCATTTTGCTTAAAAAAAAGCTTTAGGTTGGAATTAATGATTTCTCAACGGAAAGGCCAAAAAAAAAAACTTGTAGAAAAGCAAAAATAAATAAATAAATAATATACCAGATAAACTAGCTTTTGTTAACAGGGCTGGACACCTTTTTAGCCAAATAGTAATACTCATAAAAAGGAGTAAGGGCCATTTTGTGTTTTTGTTCTGTTTTATTTTTTCTTTTTCTGAAAAACACATTAAAAAAAATTGTGTGCTGAACTTTTTCCAAAAACTGCTTCCGAAAATAGTTTCTAAAACAACAATGATTCATCCCACTAAAAACATCACCACTAATAGCACTAATGCATTAAAAAAGTAAAAAAAAAGAAAAAAAAAAACACAACTCAATGCTTATTAGTTAGATGCAAGGATGTGCAAATAAGTATGAAATTATATATGCAAACTTATGCAAGGATGCAAGGTTGTAGTGCCTGCTGTTGCGGCTGTGATTGTGGCCGTGGTTGCAGCTGCGCCGGTTGTGGCTGAGACTGAGGTTGTGGTTGATGTTGTGACTGATTAATAGTAGATGCTGGTTGTGAAACATTAGCCATGGAGCCAACTATCCAGCAAGGCTGCTTTCGTTTCAAGGAAAAAAAATTGTTAGAACATGAATACATAAATAATTAATCGTAAAGATTCACATTATTACGCATACAATGGCTACATCTGATGCCTCATCAACTGGATCTCCATTCTTCTTTGTGTGTGTCTCTATGTAGACCATTATCCGATCTGGTTGCACCTTATCTCTCTTATACATCTTCATTATTAGGAACAATAAATACATATTACAACTTTACCAAATACAATGCATATTGAGAAAAAATTGTTAACCTATCATTTACCTCATCCTTTACCCGACAATGGGCCTTTCTCCCACTTGTATGGGACATTGTCAATTTTTTTCGATTGTCACTGTTGGTTGTACTGCGTTCCTGTCACAATAAATAGATATCGAGATTTGGTACAAGTCTTTCTCCAACTACTCTTGAAGCAATTTAGACCTTTTAACAAAGCGCTTAATAGCCAAACCTTCACATACCATATTCTTTGGCAAATACATGCATGTGTTTAGACAATGCTTTGCTCTATATTCATAAACTAATTGAGATTTTATTTTACTTTAGTCAAGGGAAGCTATCTTTATGGTCATAACCAAAATAATAATCATAATAAGTCATGTAATCAATACCGTAACAAGTCATCATTAAGTCTTAACTAAAACTAAAATCAGTCATCCTCAAACATTACTTGAAGCATAGCCAAAGACTTTATTGACCATAACCAGAATAACAACCACAATAAGTCATTATCAGGTCATAAAAAACAGAATTCTAAGGTAAAAAAATTATAGAATGCAACAATTAATACCTGTGCCTCTAGACTATTCCAAAATTGAACGAGAATCTTCCACTGACTAGGATCCACCCTATCGGGACAATTTGCTAAGCGTTCTTCATTAGTTTTGTACTTGTTGAAGTGCTTTCTTTTCAGTTGGTCTTTCCAGTCTTTCCATTTCTTTCCAACTGACATCAAGCAATTATGTTTGAAAATATCTGGTGCATCAGTGTTGTCCTATATATATAACGAGATATCAAACAAATATATTTGTTAATTAAAGTATGAGTACGAGAATAAGATTTATATAGTACTTGCATTTTCATACCTTAACTTCCTGCCATATACGTTCTTTATAGGGGTTTAACTGTGGAGCTCTCCAATCATTGAAAGTTAATGGTGCAAAATTCCCATTCCGGGCTAGAATGCCTAACTGACTTTGTAATTTTGCAGCTTCATCGCCAATAGGTTGATTCTCTTCATTTAATGTAACCATTAACTTTTGTCCCGTGCCCCATCTGGCAAAAGGACGACCAGGCCCTCTTGTCTGTCTAATTGCTGATTGACCCGTGCTGGTAGCTATTGAAACTTTTATGAAATAGGCATAAAAGAAAGCAAAAATTAAGTAAACATGTGAATTTCAGCTCAAGAAGAGTGTATGATATTCATTGAATGCAGTTCTATATTTTTTCTCTTCATAATTGTGAAATAAAATGTTTTCTATTTGAAAAAAGATTTAACCACATTATGCAAGAAAAATAAATCAAGATTATAAAAAAAATTATAAGTAGATCTTACATACCAACAAATTTTATAAAATTCTAGCCATTCGTATATATTTTTTGTGTTCGTAGAATTTCCTTTCAACTCAAAATAAAATAAAATAATGTGTCTCTAATGATGTGTTTTTGAATTATGAATTTAAATAGAAATTTTTTGTTTTCAAATCCCTAATCAAATTCATGAGTCAAATACAACCTAAATAACCATCCAAAATAATCATTTAATTTTGGATTCTCCCATTAAAATTTCTAACAATTATTGATCATATTTTGAGATATATTTACTAGAAGCATTTAATATGATGAATAAAGGTGTGCTAGGTGCTGCTAATTCAATTCAAATTTCAAAAACAACAATTAAAGAGTGTATGATATTCATTGAATGCAGTTCTATATTTTTTCTCTTCATAATTGTGAAATAAAATGTTTTCTATTTGAAAAAAGATTTAATCGCATTATGCAAGAAAAAAAAAATTATAAATAGATCTTGCCTACCAACAAATTTAATAAAATTTTAGCCATTCATATATATTTTTTGTGTTCGTAGAATTTCCTTTCAACTCAAAATAAAATAAAATAAAATAATGTGTCTCTAATGTTGTGTTTTTGAATTATGAATTTGAATAGTAGAAAATCTTGTTTTCAAATCTCTAATCAAATTAATGAGTCAAATACAATCTAAATAACCATTCAAAATAATCATTTAATTTTGGATTCTCCCATTAAAATTTTTAGCAATTATTGTTCATATTTTGAGATATATTTACTAGAAGCATTTAATATGATGAATAAAGGTGTGCTAGGTGCTGCTAATTCAATTCAAATTTCAAAAACAACAATTGAAGAGTGTATGATATTCATTGAATGCAGTTTTATATTTTTTGTCTTCATAATTGTGAAACAAAATGTTTTCTATTTGAAAAAAGATTTAATCGCATTATGCAAGAAAAAAAAATCAAGATTATAAAAAAAATTATAAACAAATCTTACCTACCAACAAATTTTATAAAATTTTAGCCATTCATATATAATTTTTGTGTTTGTAGAATTTCCTTTCAACTCAAAATAAAATAAAATAATGTGTCCCTAATGATGTGTTTTTGAATTATGAATTTAAATAGAAATTTTTTTGTTTTCAAATCCCTAATCAAATTCATGAGTCAAATACAACCTATAACCATCCAAAATAATCATTTAATTTTGGATTCTCCCATTAAAATTTCTAACAATTATTGTTCATATTTTGAGATATATTACTAGAAGCATTTAATATGATGAATAAAAGTATACTAGGTGCTCCTAATTCAATTCAAATTTCAAAAACAAACAATTAAGGAGTGTATGATATTCATTGAATGCAGTTCTATATTTTTTTTCTTCATAACTGTGAAATAAAATGTTTTCTATTTGAAAAAAGATTTAATCGCATTATGCAAGAAAAAAAAAATTATAAATAGATCTTGCCTACCAACAAATTTAATAAAATTTTAGCCATTCATATATATTTTTTGTGTTCGTAGAATTTCCTTTCAACTCAAAATAAAATAAAATAAAATAATGTGTCTCTAATGATGTTTTTTTGAATTATGAATTTAAATAGAAATTTTTTGTTTTCAAATCCCTAATCAAATTCATGAGTCAAATACAACTTAAATAACCATCCAAAATAATCATTTAATTTTGGATTCTCCCATTAAAATTTCTAACAATTATTGATCATATTTTGAGATATATTTACTAGAAGCATTTAATATGATGAACAAAAGTGTACTAGGTGCTCCTAATTCAATTCAAATTTCAAAACAACAATTAAAGAGTGCATGATATTCATTGAATGCAGTTCTATATTTTTTTTCTTCACAATTGTGAAATAAAATGTTTTCTATATGAAAAAAGATTTAATCGCATTATGCAAGAAAAAAAAATCAAGATTATAAAAAAAATTATAAATAGATCTTACATACCAACAAATTTTATAAAATTCTAGCCATTCGTATATATTTTTTGTGTTTGTAGAATTTCCTTTCAACTCAAAATAAAATAAAAGAATGTGTCTCTAATGATGTGTTTTTGAATTATGAATTTAAATAGAAATTTTTTTTTATTTTCAAATCCCTAATCAAATTCATCAGTCAAATACAACCTAAATAACCATCCAAAATAATCATTTAATTTTGGATTCTCCCATTAAAATTTTTAACAATTATTGTTCATATTTTGAGATATATTTACTAGAAGCATTTAATATGATGAATAAAAGTGTACCAGGTGGTCGTAATTCAATTCAAATTTCAAAAACAGCAATTAAAGAGTGTATGATATTCATTGAATGCAGTTCTATATTTTTTCTCTTCATAATTGTGAAATAAAATGTTTTCTATTTGAAAAAAGATTTAATCACATTATGCAAGAAAAATAAAATCAAGATTATAAAAAAAATTATAAATAGATCTTACCCATCAACAAATTTTATAAAATTTTAGCCATTCATATATATTTTTTGTGTTCGTAGAATTTCCTTTCAACTCAAAATTAAATTAAATAATGTATCTTTGGATTATGAATTTGAATAGAAAATTTTTGTTTTCAAATTCCTAATAAATTCATAAATCAAATACAACCTAAATAACCATCCAAAATGATCATTTAATTTTGGATTCTCACATTAAAATTTCTAACAATTATTGTTCATATTTTGAGATATATTTACTAGAAGCATATGAAGAATAAAAGTGTACTCGGTGTTCCTAATTTAAATTTCAAAAACAACAATTAAAGAGTGTGTGATATTCATTGAATGCAGTTCTACATTTTTTTTCTTCATAATTGTAAAATAACGGTGATGCTACATGTACCAATTGATATATCAATTAGTGTGCCAACATATGCTATAATATTGTCATTTCAAAACTATGACCCCACCCCACCCATTATACAAATTACAAAAACTTAAAACTTTTAAAGTTATATCACATCATACATTAATATATTAATTAATATATCAATTAGTACATATAACGTTATTGGTGAACTAAATTGTTTTCTATTTAAAAAAGAGTTAATCCCATTATGCAAGAAAAAAAATCAAGATTACAATGAGATGATATTGGGAAGTCCATCAAGTTTGTTGGCTGCTTTTTATTAGATTCTCATTTTGGGCAGAAGTTTTTTGATTTTCTAAATCTTTTTTCTTGTTTATTGTGCGTATGATATTTACAAATATATTGTTAACAACCTCCATAGAGATTTCTTTTAGTTTTTATATTACAGTTTTATTACAAACACAAAAATAAAAAAATAGAATACATATTAATAAATAAATTTTTATAAAACTTATCAATGGGACCCACTTTTAAAAGATGATGTCCATCTTTATACATTTTGTATCCGATCGGTATGTGTTTTTAAACTAATTCTTTATATTAATTTAATTATCGTTGATTTGAAGCTTTGATCTCAGTTGGAGATCAACAATTTGAATATTTGCACTTGTGTGGATGTTCTCTTTGTAGTCATTTGGAGTTTATCTCAGTCGCTTTAAAATTTTCTTTCTAATAATTATATGTTGTATTTAATTTTTATTGTGATTGTGATTGATTCATTGAACTTTGTTGTATGATATGATACATTGTAAATGCTACCATCAAAGTGGGCAAGTTTAGCTCTTTAATTCATTTTGTCATCACATGTAATTGTGCTGTTTCAATCAAAGAATTTGTTTAGATCATTTCCAAATTAATAGAGTGTGCCTCATTAAAAATTCTCTAACCAAATATTTCAATATCAGCTAAAGTTAAAACATGCCATTAAAATTAGGAAAATTGAGATGGGTCAAATAAATATGACTCATAATTCAATCCCTCTTCATAAGCATACCAAACTAAACAACTAAGTCTTGATCTTTATATAATGCAAAGCTAGGGATACCACAAAGCAATATCAACGTAAAATTGATTTGGGACTTAGAAAGATAATAATATACTGATTCTGGTAATGATAATATACTATGGTTTATTCTCTCAATTGGTCAAAAAAAAAAAAATTTTTGGATATATAATTGGTCAAATCTTTGCATGTAACAATAGTGGTACCAATCTTTTAGAACTAATTGGGTTATTCCAGTTCATTAAAACTTAAATTATATCATATGAAAAGTTAAGAGTTCGAATGTCAAGTGAATCAATGATTAGAATGTCAAGTGAATCAATGATTAGAAGTTTCATTATTCCATTGAAGTGACTTTAGGGATTTAGTATATGTGGGACAATTGATTAATTACATGTTCCTGAAGATTAATCGGAAACTATAGAACACTCTTTTGAGAAAAAGAAAAAAATTGATAATTTTCTAGTTTATTTGTTTATAAAACAGTGGATTTATTTGGTGAGACCATATCATTGTTATTTGTTTGTAGATCATGATGGATGATGTGGTAGCAAATGCCTAGAAGATCTTCGAATCCATATTGGGGCAGACTAACAATATATTTCAAAGCAAAAAACAATATATTTTCTCTATGCAAAAAAATAAAAATAAAGATAAAATAAAATAAAAAATCTTGTATAATTTATTTGGGTATAAAGGATCTGGATGATTTTAAAGAATCAATTCACATACATCTCAACCATGTTTGAACCCGCAAAAAAAATTTCACATGTTTGACAAAAAGTCCGTTGACTTTGGCTTAGTAGAAAATCGGCCAATGTACAAAATCATAGTCACAGTTTGACTATCGTTTATAAATTTTTAAAAAAAAATTAAATAAATAAAAATACAAGCACACTCTATTATAATTGAAGTTTCTTGTTTTTTCAGATGAAATAATGAAGTAATTATTTGATACTTTTGAGGAGTCG